TCAATCAATTAATACATTTATTCATTCATTTATCTTTCTCTCTCTCCATATATATATATATATATATATATATATATATATATATAAAAATGTCTAGCTATCTACTTTGTATCTCTAGTGCTTAACAAAGTATGTGGACTATTTGGTGCTTTATAAATGCATGTTGTATGACTGAGGACAGAGAGGGTGTCCTTTCTCTTCCTATCTGACCTATACCCAGTACTTCACACAGTATACTTCACTACCTTAGTAGGCTTCAGTTAATAGCATTTTATTAAATTGATTAATTAATTGGTGAGTGAGTTAATCAAAACCTCTAATTAGCCAGATTTTTCTTCACACTCTACTTTCATGAAAGGAAAGATAAATCATAAGAAAATATATTAATATAGAGAACTTTCTTTGCCTGAGTTCAGTATAAATTTAACCTGGGCTCTACCACCTCCCATATACAGTAGATTGGATGATCCAGACCTAAGGGTAATAATCCTTTCTCTCTATTTGTATGGTTGATTACACTTTTAAAGTATGTTCACATACATTAGAAATATTCCAAACAACTTCATTATAAATATATGTTTACTGGAAATAACACAAGACTCAGAATAAAGAGCCCTGGACTTAAATTTCAGCTGTCACAATTTGTGTGACAATGGGCAAGTTATTTAATTTCTCTGGGACTCAGTTTCTTACTTTATAAAGTAGACATAATAATATTTGCATTACCTCCCTCACAGAATTGTTATGATAAAATGCTTTTTAAACTTTAAAGAATAATAAAAATGTGTTTGTCATTATTATAAAGATGATCAATATTTGCTGTTATTCAGTCGTGTCTGACTCCTTGTGACCCCGTGGACCACAGCACTCCAGTGTGGCTTTTTTATCCTTTATTATCTCTTAAAGTCTGTCCAAGTTCATATTTGTTTGTTTGTTTTTCCATGACACTATCTATCTATCTCATTCTCTGCCATCCCTTTTTACTTTAGCTTTCAATCTTTCCGGAAATCAGGGTCTTTTCTGATGAGTACCATCTTCTCATTATGTGGTCTAAGTATTTAAGCTTCAGCTTCAGTATTTGACCTTCTAGTGAATAGCCTGAATTAATTACTTTAAATATTGACTAATTTGATCTCCTTGCTATCTGAGAGATTCTCAAAAAGTTTTCTCCAGCACTACAATTGAAAAACATTGATTCTACAGGGCTCAGATTTCCTTATAATCCAACTCTCACAGCCATATATAGCTGCTGAAAAAACCATGGCTTTGACTGCATGGACTTTTTAGTATGCTATCCAGATTTGCCATAGCTTTCCTTTCAAAGACAAGAGTCTTTTAATTTCATGGCTGCAGTCACTGTCTGCAGTGATCTTTGAGCCCAAGAATATAAAATCTGACACTGTTTCCATTTTTTTCTCCCTTTATTTGCCAGGAAGGAATGGAACCAGTTGCCAAGATCTTAGTCTTTTTGATGTTAAGCTTCAAGCCAGCTTTTACACTCTCCTCTTTCACCCTAATCAAGAGACTTCTTAATTCCTCTTCACTTTCTGCCATCAGAGTGGTATCATCTGCATATCTGAGATTGTTGATATTTCTCCCAGCAACCTTAATTCTGGCTTTTGATTCATCCAGCCTGGCATTTTACATGATGTACTCTGCACACAAGTTAAATAAATAAGGTGAAAAGATATAGTCTTGTATTCTTTTTCCAATCTTAAACCAATTAGTTGTTTCATGTTCAGTTTTAACTGGTGCTTCTTGGCATAACACAAAAAGATTTAGGGAAGGCCAATAGAATATTGACTGAATCTTCTATAGGGGATTTTAAAAAAAAGAAAGGAATGAGTCACAGAAAATGAGAAGGATCAATATTTTGTGATCTACACCTATGGAAGAATACTCACTCCTATGAGATCACAAAGCCATCTACGTAATATTAATGCAAATTTTATTTTTAATAAGGACCTGTGATTTCATTAGCATAAGCAATTTCTATACTGGGAACTCACTTTACCAATGAAGACTAGCAAGTGTTCTACAATTTATAGTCTTAGTGATTTGCCTGGGGCACTAAGAAATTAAGTGAAGCCCAAGGTTACATAGCCAATATATTATGAGTCAGAGGCCAACTTTCACTCAGCTCTTTCTGAGTTGGGGAATAGCCTTCCATCTACTATTCAATGCTCTAGTGTAAGTTATTGGGATGTAATTAATATTATATTTAAATATACATTATTTCTCATGATCCTGACAATAGCTTTGGGAAATAGTCAAGACAAGACATTGTCATTACTATTTAATGAGGGAGCTAATACACTGAAAAATTACTTATTTGCCCATGGTTACATAGCTAGTTAATGATGGGAACTGAATCCAGAATTTGAGTCTCCCGTCTCTCAGTTTAATGTTCTTTAATTTATGCTACTTTGTGATGACCCCAAGACATTGAAAAAAATCAGTCATTAAATAAAAAAGCATCATGGGATAGTGGAAGGAGTGGTAGTTTGAGGTCAGAAAGATCTGGGTTCAAATTTTGACTAGTCTGATCCTGTTTCTTCTTACACTCTTCAATCCAGTGACATTGGCCTCCTTCCTGTTCCACAAACAAGACCCTCCATCTCTTGACTTTGGTCATTTTTACTGGCTATCCTCCATTCCTGGAATGCTCTCCCTCCTCAAATTTGCCTGCTGATTTCCCTGGCTTCCTTTAAGCCCTGACTAAAATCCCATCTTCAACGGGAAGCTTTTTGTAGCCCCTCTTAATTCTAATGCCTTTCCTTTTCCAATTATTTCCTATTTGTCCTATATACAATATGCATATATCTGTATCTATAGATATTAATCTTGATCAGTTTCTACACAGATATTTGTTTGCATATTGACTCCCCCATTAGATTGCAAGCTCCTTGACGGCAGGGACTGATTTTGCCTCTTTTTGTATCTCCAGCATAATGTCTGGCATATGTCGATCAGTTGTTTCTGTCATGTCTGATACTTTGTGATCCCATTTGGGGTTTTCTTGGCAAAGACACTGAAATGGTTTGCCATTTCCTTCTCCAGCTCATTTTGTGGATAAGGAACTAAGGTAAACTGGGTTAAGTTACTTGCCCAAGACTACACGGCTAGTAAATGTCTGAAGCCAGATTTAAACTAAGGAAGTTGAGTTTTCCTGACTTCAGGCCTACCATTCTATCCTCTGCACTATCTAGCCATTTGGCACATAGTAAGTACTTAATAAATATTTATTCAATGACTGATTGTATGACCTTAGAAAGTTCCTTTAACTTCTCTTTCAATTTTTTCATCTATAAAATAAGAAGTTTGGGCTAGATCATCTCTAAGGTACATTCTAGTTCTAAAATCCTATAATTAAATCATTATTAATAGAACACATTCAGTAAGATAAGAAAATGGAAATATGAATCCCAAATATATTTTTCTTTAAATCTCAGAACAATCTTCTCTTTAAATAGCCATAAATTCAATTAACTCAAACTTTAGTTATCTGGGTGTTCTAGTTAAATCAATATTTTAATATGCAAATGAATGGGAGTATCTTATACAAGAGAGAAATCTCAAATGGTAGTTTATATTGCTTTGGCTCTTCTTTGGGTTTTGTGCCTAGGAATTCTCATTTTCCAGGGGTCCAAGGGAAATTGGAGATACTCTAGAAAACAACAAACAACATGTTTTACCAATTGGAATTCTGATCTATTAACAAATGTTGGGATTATTTCAGGAGGCTGGATAACAGAGAGTAAAGGAATTGACAATTCTTTCCTGGATTAGAAAGGGTCAGTCTTGTAGAGAAGATGATACCTACACTAGGCTTCGTTTTCTCAGAGGGCAGTACAAGTCAAAATGAGCTTAAATTTTAGCAACAGAAACTTAGATTAGAAAATGAAATTCCTGAAAGAGGAAAAGGTTATTACACTAAAAAAGAGGCTTAGAAGGCAGGCTAGACCATTTCTGACCCTAGGGAATGTCTTCGTGAATATTTCAAAGCTCCGTGCTGGCTAAAAGAGAGCTTCCCTAAGATACCCCACTTCCCCACTCCTTTCCAATGGCAATACATTTCTTAGTTTAACAGCACTGTCAAATGAAAAAAAAATCCCTTCAACTCTTGATTAAAATGACATTTGCTATTAGGGACTGTATAACAGACACAGGTAGAAGAGCAGGCAAGCATCTGAGTGGCCTAAATGCACACTACAAGAAACCAAAATTGGAGCAATTTGCTGTAATTTAGAAAGATGAATGAGTGAATGAATGCGTACACTGAAGAAAATTATATATTTTATTTGAAGGTAAGATTGCACATCTCTAATCAAGGCTTAAAATCAGAATTAGGAGAAATTGTGCCGCAATTATTTTCTTAGAAGAGAACAAAGAAGTTATAAAAGCACCTAATATTTCCCTTTGAAGCTTTGGGAATGAAGACACTCACTTCACAACAAAAGTACAGTTTGATTTGGCTGGGTCTTGTAAAAATCTAGTTCACTTAGCCCTGAGAGCAAGCTTGTTTTCATGAAAAGCTCTGCTGAGCTCTCTGCCTTCTCATTGCATTTCCCTGTCTGCTTTCCGATCTCTCAGATTTAAACAAATAATAATAGTTAAAATATAATGAGATGCTCTTGATAACTATTCATTTAGCTTAATATTTTCTTACATGCTCTGAGGAAATGGGGAAGAGTTGGTGAATTCAATTGAATAAGCATTTATTAAGCCCCTACAATGCACCAAGAATTGTGCTAGGTACTGGGAATACAAAGAAAAAAAGAAAGAAAGAAAGAGAGAGAGAGACAAAGAAAGAAAGAAAGAAAGAAAGAAAGAAAGAAAGAAAGAAAGAAAGAAAGAAAGAAAGAAAGGAAGGAAGGAAGGAAGGAAGAAAAATTATTCCTACCTTCAAGGAGCTGACATTCTATACAAATGGGAAAAAGAATATATGATTAAATATGATGCTTATTCATCTTACGTTTTTTATTTCTTCTTTATCCATAGAGTGAGTCTCTAGGTTGTATGATATGGAGTCTCAGGAAAACAGTACAATTTTAACCCCAAAGGTAAGTTTTTAAATTTGATTTTCTCACAGATTCCCCCAGAAACAAACAAACAGAAAACATAGCAGTGGAAAAGATATCAGAGGCCATCTAGTCCAAATTGTGTTTGACGTAGTAGCAGAATATAAGCTTCCTGAAGGCAAGGAAACTATTCTTTTTATGTCTCTAGTGAATAATACAGCCTCTGGCAGATAGAGATAGGATAACAAACTGGATAGGTAACTAAACAGCTAGTTAGCTAAAGAGATAGATACTTAATAAATTGAGACTAACCCTTTATAATATGCCCAACAAATAGTCATGCATTAAGAGGAGCATTGCTGCATTCAGCTTCCAGAAATTAAGAGGTGATATCTGTATGTATTCTGTCACATTACATCTAGATGTAGTGGAAACCACACATAAAGAAACATATTGTTAATTTGGAGAATATTCAGAGGAGAACAACCAGGGTGGTGAAAGGAACTAAAGGTCAGTTGGAGAACTGAGAACATTTAGCTTGGAGATGTCTCAGAGGAGGGAGGGGATATGAAAGCTCTCTTTAAGTATCAGAAAGGTTTCCAGTCACATCTAGGAACAGTGATTAGGCTTGTTGTTTGACTCCAGAGAACAGAAACAGCAGGCAGAAGTGGAAAAGAGGCAAATTTAGGCTTGATGTCAGAGTAAAAAAAAACTTCCTAATAAGGACAGTTGCCCCAAAATGGAATCAGACGTTTTATTTGTTCTTTGTTCTCGAAGAGGACCATGACATCAGGGCTGTGATGACATGACTTGCAATTGACTTTGATTTGAAAGAGGGAGGGCTGGGTGAGGTGAACAGCCTTACTTTTTCCTCCAGAGCCATCTGGGTCCAGTGCCCAGATATTCATCAGGATCACTGGAGATGGCCCAGGAGGCAATGGAAGACCCTGGCCCTTTTAAACTAAGGTCTTGTCAGGTTCTTACTTTGAGCGAAGTAACACCCTTTCAGCAAATAGGCCTCTTTAAGATGTGAGTCAATTAAAAAAAAATAAACTGAAAAGAGAAACAATTTGTGTCTGTCCTTCCTTCTGGAAGAGGACCATGGCATCAGGGAGATGATGACATGACTTGCAATTGACTATGAGTTGAGTTAGGGAGGGCTGTGCAAGGTCACCAGCTTCACTTTGTCCTCCAGAGCCACTGGGTCCAGTGGCCAGATATCCAGCTACCTCTCTCTAATGTTTTTGAAAATTAAAACTACTTACTGTGAAATATGCAACAATAACAAAGAGACAAACTTTTGCAATGGAAAAGGCACTGGAATAGATCTCAGAAGACCTGGTAACAATATCTCTTTTCAATATTTACTAGCTTTGCGACCATAGGCAAGAACAAAATACTTCATCTCCTGACTCTGGGCATTTTCTCTGGCTTTCCCCATGCAAGCTAAAATTCTACTTTCTGCAGGAAGACTTTCTCGACCCCCCACACCTTAATTCCCCTGTCTTTGCTCTTTTGGTTATCTCCAATTTATTCTGTGAATATCTTGTTTTTACGTAGTCATCTGTATGTTCTCTCCCCCCATTAAATTCTGAGCTTCTTGAGAGAAGGAACTGTCTTATTTTTTCTTTTTTTAAATCTCCAGTGCTTAGCACAGTACTTAGCACATAGTAGGTACTTAGTAAATGTTTATTGACCAACTGATTACATCTTTTTCAGCTTCAGTTTCCTCCTGTGCACAACTGAGATATTACTAGCCCTAAATCTCTTCTATAGCTGTTTTTAAGATCAAATGAAATAATGTATGAGAAGGTGCTCTACAAACTGTAAAGCAATAGGCAAATCTGGGATATTTTAGGGAAATAGTTAAGCATAGAGGTAGAAGCCCTGGATTTTTGCTCGGAAACCTGTGTTTGTGTAAGGAAAAAAAGATACTGGATGGGAAGGAAGAATGCAAGCGTTGCTCATCATTGCACCAGAGGGAAGGTTTCTTTCATTGCTCTCATAGCTACAGAAACAGCTAAGGAGGTGAGTGATTAATTCCAGTTGAATGAGGCTATTTATGGTCTCCAGGAATAGTAAAATTACTGGTATACTTCATCTTGTGACAGAGGAATGAGTCACAGAATAACAGAATTCTTTCCAACCTGGCACAGACAGAAGCATTTTGCCTACACCTGGTGATTGCAGGGACAAACTGAGACTCATTGGTTCTTAAAATATAATGTGAACAGGTGATGTCCAGCCGTCATCAGAGCAATGAATGGGAAGATTAAATTTAGATGCTACAGACTTTGCAAGTAGAAGCAGTGACTTTTTTTTTTCCCTTAATGCATCTCCTCTTGGGAACTAAACAGGGAACTAAACCTTAGAGGTTGTCTGAACTCCCAGTGGGGGGAAAAGTGAGTGAGAACGGAAAAAAGGCAACCATAAGGTCACAAAGAGTTTCTGCATTTAGAAGGAGCTAGGTCTCATATCTATGTAAATGTAGCCATTTTGCTTTATTACCTGTGATTTGATCTGATTAAATGCTTTTATATTAATGATCCACAAAGACCACTTTTATCTTTTTAGGGTAATCTAGCTTAATTTTATGCAAGCCAAGATTTCTGGGAAGCCATTTTTACCCCTACCACTTTTCACAATTTAATAGAGTAGTACTGTTCATAATCCTTACCATCTTCTTCTATAAGATTTTGCAAATGAGTTTATATTTTAAAATGATACTACTTTTTAGTCTCTTTGGTTGATTAGGAAATCAGTGACTTGATTGTCTGAAGTATTTTCTGGGCTTCTTGTGGCTTCTCTGCAACAGGGATTGCTTTTCATTGGTTCAATTTCCAATGGAAATGGCTTAAAGACATGTTGATGCATTAACTGTCTTTTCCTTATTTCATTCATTTCACATGGTCAATAGCATCTTTGGATAGATCAACTTGGAGATCTTACAACTGTATGCCATGGTTTCTTCTCAACTTTATCTTCTAATCAAAATTGTTTTTGATTTTGACCTGTGCTTTAAAAGTTTATGTTTTTATTGATCAATGATTTAGAGATGATTTCCACATCAGGAAGCAAAGACAGAGTTAATTTTATTGTATTTATTTAACTAGATCATATTTGTATTAATTATATAATTATATATAATATATAGTAAATATATGTATTAATTTTATTATATGTATATTCAACTATATTTGTATGTGAGAATATGTGTGTATAATATTGTTTGGCATTCACTAAGCCTTCTGCCAGTTGATTATCTGCTTGACAAAGAATATTATTCATTTTGTACTGTAAAGAGGCATCTGTTTAATCTATAAACCAGAGCAGATAGTTGGCTCAGTGGATAGCGCACTGGGCCTGGAGTCAGAAAGATTTGAGTTCAAATATGGGCTCACACATTTCTTAGCTGTGTTATCTTAGGCAAGTCACTTAACTTCTCTCTGCCTCAGTTTCCTCAACTGTACAATGGGAGTAATAATAGTACCTATCTCCCATGGATGTGAAGATCAATTGAAATAACATTTGTAACATGCTTAACACACTGCCTGGAACACAGCTGATGTTTAATAAATGCTTGTTTCCTTCCTTGGCCCCTTTTGCTTCTTAGTCCCAAACGTTATTTCCAGTAATATGCTGACTCATTGCTTACTGCCTTCAATGCTACTGCACTGAAGTCACTAAATGCTAAAGGATGTGTTGACTTCCTTGTTGAATTTTCTTTGTTGAATTTTTCTACCCCTATTTATCTCCTGCAGTAGATGCTGGTGCATTCATGGTGGCCTTCGTGTATATATTCATGTGAGTATTGCCAAAGAAGATGACCAAGCATCTCATTCAGTGATGTTTCTAGTTGCTGTTGAATACATAATTATATTGGCTCTTTATCTTTTATTTCCCCCTCTCCAAGGGAATCCTATGAACCATGCTTCCATTTAGGTTCATTTTTTTCATGTCATCTGGTTTAATTTATATTGAGGATGTTCATATTGATATGGCTAAATTTCTCTAGTAATCTGTTGACTCATTTTTGTTACAAAACGATCATAATTAGAGTGTCAATAGTTAAATTCTATATAATGATGGTCTAGGAAAGCATGATCTTAGCACATACAAAATCACAAATTGTTTCTCATGTTTTACCTTGACATATTATATTTCTTATGTATACCATACCATATTTCATATGTATGCCATCCTATATAGGGTACCCTAAATGTCTTAGTGCCAATCTAAGCTATTACAACTTAAAATTGTACCACGTCTTCTGGGACACTGTGTATATTATGCATAATTCTGTATTTCATTTCTCTTTGACTTAATAGGGACATTCATAATAATTCTAAATATTTCTACTCAAATATCACAGTGAACTATATAATTCTGTTATTTTGGTAGAGTTCTAATACTATATGGCATGGCATAGTTGCTAGAGAACTAGACTTAAAGTCAGAAAGACCTGGGCTAAGTCCTGCTTAAGACATATACTGGCTGGATATCCCAGTGCTAGTCCCTTAACCTCATGATGTTCTAGGCAGCCCTCTGTGCCTTTATACTATATGTTTCCCAAGCTTGGAATGGTCCACCCTGTCACCTATACCTCTGAGTTTTTCTGATTTACTTCAAACACAGCTCAAGTCCTGCTTAGTTCAGGAGCCTTTCTTGGCTTTTATTCTAAGAATGTCTTCCATCTACACTGCACAAATTTTATATCTACCTAGTTGTTGCCATGTCTCCTCTTTCATTAGAATGTAAGCTCCTTGAGGGCAGGGACTATAGTTTTGCCTTTTTTGTGTGTTCCTAGAGCTTAGCCTGGCACACAGTAGACACTTAGTAAATGCTGATCATCTTGATTGGACTTGAATCTCTACTCTAAGTTGCAGAGAAAGTTATCATCTTGCATTACTGGAGGGAGCTGTCCCCTGCTACAACTGTGCCAATATAACCGTATATCAATGAAACAAAAGGTCTAGTCTTTATATTACAAATATATATATATATATATATATATATATATTATATGTGCATATATACATGTGTTTTACATGTAGATATACATATATACATAAGCATACACTATAGTATATGTCATTATTCTATACATGTTACACACTTGCATAAGCACATATGTAATACATAGCATTTTAATATTTATAAAAAGCAAATCTTATGACAACTCTAAGAGGTAGGTAGACAAGTGTTCTACTTACTTTACAAATTGGAAAATGGAGGCTCCCAAAAATGACGATAAAATATTAAATGATGTTGGGCTCTCCTTTGTATGTTTCTTTAATGTGGGTGAAAATAGCTATTCTATTCTATAACCCCATTTTTGCTTGGTGGAATTTTGTGTTTTGTATTGTTTGCTTTTGTTTCACTGAGAACTTCTAAAAATCCTCACCCAAATGAAAATGGAAGAGATGTCTTTGTACTTGAAGAAAATTTTTAAAAAAATGTACATAGCATATTATGACTCCTCTCTACCCACACTTTTTTACAAATCCTAAATATGGTGCTTTATATATTCAAGCATTATATATGTAAGGGGCAGCTACATAAACAGGAAACATCTGCTGGCCATTTTCTCTTTTAAAGGTTCTCTTTACAATGGCCACTCTCCATGAATAAATGAGTACCAGATCAGGTGGCAAGCCTAGTGGGAATTTGTGCTCTGGCAGCCACATCACTCTCCTGTTTTCCTGAGGTGCATCATGACAACAGAGTGGGAGTTAAAGTACTTTTATTTAAACAGTTGAACATCCTCAAGTTTTAAAGTATATAAAAAGGGATAAAGTCACATTAGAATTCAATACCCCAATATTTTGGGGTGAGAAGTCACAGTTATGATTTTACAAATCCTTCAAAATCCTTTTAAGTAAACTGAGATTTGATAAATGATAAATGATAGATAGACAGACAGACATATAGACAGAGAAATAGATAAAGCATCTATTAAGTGTCAATCATTCTTCTAAGTCCTGGCAATAAAAATATAAGCAAGCCAAGGAGTCCTTGTCAGTGAGGAGATCATATTTTAATGAGTGAAGACAACATAATGGGAAACTGGGAAATCGAGGTGGGGCAGGTGGACTACTGCAGATATAGAAGTTGTACAGAGGCCTGGCTCTGGGCAAGGTAAGGGGAGTGTTTACCTGCCAGAGCCCAGCACCCATAAGGCAGAATCCAAGGTTCCAAAATGAGGAGGGGGAAGGAGATCAGCAGGTTGAGAGACAGAAAGGGATGGTGTCTGCAGTGGCTGTGTTGGTGTGGGAAAGTCAAGGAATAACCTGATTGTATTTTCCCCTCCATTCACCATGTTGAACCAACTAGATTATAAATTGTTTCTATCCTTGTTGGGGATTTAAAACTAAAATCCATCATGAAAAATGTGATATAATGCATAGTTCTAAGTATGTGCTTAGTTACTCAATAAATAAATAAATGCTTGCTTTGGACCAATCTTTTACAACTTTTTTATTCCTTAATGATCAAGTAGATATATACTGCAATGGAGAAAGCCCTGGACTGAGGCCTGGGGTAGAGTACGGGACAAGAAAACTAGATTCTAATTCTTTTCTTGTCAAAGATTAGTTAAGTGATGTTGGGAAAGTGACTTCTTCTCTCCAGAATTCATTGCCCTTATCTGTAAAATCTATGTATAATGAGTGAAAACCTTATCTCTAGGTTTAAATTTTGGTTATCTGTTTCATGATCCAATGGATCTTTACAGGTAAATAAGAAATGAAAACAAGTAGATGAATAACATCTACTGTCTAGACCAGGGGTATCAAACAGATTATACAACACTCCCAAATCAGATTAAAATATAATTGAGGAAATATTTAACAAAATTAATTAATTAATTAAAACAGAATATTTCAATAAATAATATAATGATATTAATAATTGATTTAATCAATTAATAAATAAAATAAAATATATAATAGAATAGAATTCTAATATGTGATTTTCTAAGTCAATATATGATCCATAGGGATCCCTATATACAATTCAGTGGCTCTCTTTTCTATTTCAGTTTGATACCATTGGTCTCCAGAGGTGGGGAACCTGAGGTCTCAAGGCCACATGTGGCCCTCTAGGTCCTCAAGTGAGGCCCTTTAACTGTATCCAAACTTCACAGAACAAGTCCCCTTAATAAAAGGATTTGTTCTGTAAAACTTGGACTCAGTCAAAAGGCCACACCCAAGGATTTAGAAGGCCACATGTAGCCTTGAGGCTACAGGTTCCCCACTCCTGGTCTAGACCATAAAATGCACTTGGATAGAAAACTTACAGAACTCACCTATTAATATATACATGGAGGATAGACACTACAAACTGACAATGAAATGGATCCTGAATTGATTTGGAGGCAAGAAATTGGTTGGGTGGCCATTGAAGATTCATGCTGTGCTTTAATCAGTGCTTCTTAAACTGTTGGTCATGATCCCATATGGATAGGAGTTGTGACCCACAGTTTAAGAAGTGCTAAAGGGGTTGCAAGTGGAAAAAGTTTAAGAAGCCCTGCTTTAAATAACTCCAAGTTTCTCCCTGAAACACATAGAGAAAAATAATAAAAATAATAATGATATTTTCCTAGGTGATTTTAACACCCATATTCTTTAGGTGATGTAGGACTGCAAGTCATAGAATGATATTATCTTCAAATAGCTGAAGTTTAGGATCTACCAAAGAGCAATGGAAAGATGTAGGTTTAGGCATGCAAGGTTATAATCCACCTCAAGTGGAGAATTCCACAAGTTGAGAAGTTGTTCGAAAGATATCAAAGAAATGTACAACTGGGGAAAAAAATATGGGCTGGTTGTGGAGACAAAACAGAGGACAACTGAAGAACAGTATGCCACATGTTCCATTGGTATAAACACAAGGTTAGAAAGGAGCAAAGGTCAAGAAAGGACCAGCAGGTCAAGTGAACTGTTTTGATGACTTTATGGAAACATGTAGATGAGAAAAGGACAAGATGGGCAAGCATGAATGGGCTTGGGTCCATGCCATTGGAGAGAATTACTACTGCATGAAAAAGGTCATAAATTCCACAGAGTTCTGGATTAGCTTTTGCAGGTAGGCCCCATCTTCCCAACTTGGCTGTAAAGTCCTTCATTTCAATAATTGCCTTTTATATATCTAGGTATCCCCTACAATGCATAACAGTGACTTGCACACAGTAATTACCTAATAAATAATCCTGGCAAATTAGCCTAACCTGGATTAGGAGAGGAAGGTTGGATCATACATACCTTTAATGAGGCTTCTTTATTTATCTCTTTATTGATTGATTGATTTAGCAAACAGCAACAATTATTAAATAATCAAAGAATCTCATAGTAAGAAGAGATCTCAGAGGTTATCTATTCTAACTCATCATCCTTTACAACATCCCTGATGAGCTGACACCTACTTTGCCTTGTAGTTCTGGGGAACACCCAAATAATGATATGATGGTGTCCCCCGACAAGCTACCCATGACTCAGGGTACTCTCAGAGGCCACATCCACTGACAACCATAGTTCATGATCCCACAGCAATATATTTATCTTTGTTAGTCAGTCAGAGGACATAATTCAACTAAAGCAAAGATATAATCAAATAAGAGTAAGAAAAGTATCAATTAAACATTTTCATTGTGAGCCTGGATCATACTCTTTGACAAATATATCAGTGGGAAGAGTAGACAAATGTAGGGAATGAGCAAGGGGAAATACGTGTAGGAAACACATGAGGTCATTGCGCATTTGTGGAATAGCCTCTTATACCTCAGGCTCATCAATGTCTTCTAGAGATGTCATCGTACTGCTCCCATTGCTGCCACAGCTTTATGTACTCATATATAAGTTACAACTTTTATGGAGCTTGTTATCTTGGAGAGATTAATGGGTATGGAGGAAGGGAGGGAAAGAAAACAAGAAAGCATAGTGCCTACTATGCACTGTGCTAAGTGCTTTTACAAATATTATCTCATTTGATCCTCACAACAATTTCGTGAGATAGGTGCTATTATTATCTCCATTTTACAGTTGGGGAAACTGACACAAACAGAAGTTAAATGACTTGCCTAGGGTCACACAGGTAGTGAGAATCTGAGGCTAGATTTGAACGCAGGTCTTCCTGAATTCAAATTTCCCTTATTAAGATAAAACTAATTTCCCTTATAAACTAAGAAACTCAAGAAAGGAGGAAAACCCATTACCTCTTAATTACTCATTCCATTTTAATAATCTAATTGTTAGAAGTTCCCTCCACCTATCCCCCTTGCTGCTTCTGCCAAGCATAAGAATTCATTGTGTTCAGGGCACTATGCTAGGTGCTAGGTATACAAAGATTTCAAATGGACAAAGAAAAATTATCCTTTTGGGATTTATAATCTAGGGGGTGGAAGCATAGGACAAGTATACAAATAACTATACAGTTCAAATGAAAATATTACTAAGTGCCCAGAAAAAAAAAAACAAAAAGGGAGTCATATGAGACCAAAGAAATAGAGATTCCTTCTGGGAAAGTTCCATGGAGGAAGCTGTATCTCAGCTGAGCCTTGCAGGAGAAGGCAGATTTCAATGGGCAGAGATCTAAGTGGATGTTATTCCATTCAGAGGATTTAGTGCAAAAATTCAGAACATTTTGTCTTTCCAAAGTAACATTTCCTGAAGTATTTTAACAAATAAATTTACATTTTATTTAACATTTAATTATCATGAGGATAGTCTACTAGGATAACTTCTGTTTATCATATACTCTGTCAAGCTTGCTAAGGACAAAGCCTTGTTTTGTCATGTTTGTAACAAGTAGAATGAATTGTTAACATTTCTTGGGTTGAGCCATTTAACTAGACTGCTTTTGTGGGCTTTACTCAAAGACTTTCAGAATTTTTGAGTTATTCGAGGAAGCCTTTGCTACTTCAAATCCCAGGAACTGGGCCTGTCAATTAACCATTAATTTTTCACCCCAGGAATTAATTTTAAAGCACAATCCCCTGGGCTTAGAACATATCCAGGCTAATCTCCTACATCTTCATATACAGGACTGGCAAAAGTAAATTACTGTTTCCCAAATAATAACTATTGCCTAATGACTCTGATGCCCTGTGGGATCCTAAAGCCTGCAAGAAATATCCAGCGATGTGCACTGAATTCTCCCTACTCAGTCAAGGAAATGGACTTGGATATTTTAGGGAGAATTTGAATTGAAAAGGTTTTCTGGTTAGACTTCCTCACAGTAACCTAATTAATCTTTATAATGATTTGTTCTGATCATGTCCTTGCTCTGCCCAAAAGCTGAAAGTGACTCTATAATACCACTAGGAAAATGGTAAATTCCTTAACACAGCATTTGATGACCTTGCTGAAACCTATAGAGCAGTGAACCTAGAGTTAGGAGGATTCATCTTTTTGAGTGGAAACCTAGCATTAGACACTTACTAGCTTGTTACTTGGGTAAGTTAGTTCTGTGCCTCAATTTCCTCATCTGCAGAATAGGGTTAATAATAGCACTTATCTCCCAGGGTTGTTGTGAGGATCACTTGAGATAACATTTATAAAGTTTGACACATAGTAGGTGCTATATAAATGTTGACAATTATTTCCAAACTTACCTCATTCTATATACCTTTATGTATTGTACTCTCCAGCCTTGGTGAATTCATACTGGCCATTCTCCTTGCCTACCCTCCCTACACTGTGAAAACAGAATAGTCTGGTGACATGGATTTGGAATCCTGGCTTTGAAGCACAAATACCAACTCTGCTATTTACTCCCTGTATGTCCCTCCTTCCTTTCTTTGGGTCTCAGTGCTGGAAAAGAAGTTTAGGGTCCTGCAAACGAAATAATTCCATGTCTCAATATGTTGAGGAATAAGAAGAACCTCTGAAATTTGTCTTTAGTCTACAAACCAGAATTCTTTTGGGATTAAGACCTTTGCCCTTTGTAGATCAAGGCTAAATGATCAGCAGCAGAGCTCTACACTCCAGTAATTGACCAATCAAGCACAAAGACCCCAATCTACCCTGACTGATATATTTTCCATTTTTATAGAGCTATAAGGGGTCTAAGCAACTATCTAGTCAAGCAGATGAGGAAATTGAATGCCAGAAAAATGAAGTGACTTGCCCCAAGGTCACACAAATAGCAGCAGAGGGAGCATACAAAACCAAGTCCTCCTATTCCAAATCCAACACAACCTCCATTATATTCTGTGGCCTCTGATACATGTCTAAACACCATCTATAAGTGACTAGTTAATTTTCATAAAGATTTTATGGAGATAAGATAGAAGATTTATAGTTTTTGATGTCCTTGATGATAACCTTTTTTGGCTCCCCAAAATACTGTCTGCAACTACTTCCACTAATTTTTTCAATATCTCCTAAAATTTCAGCAATCTTAAAAATGTGTCTTTTTGTGCTTTCAAAAGTATAAAAACTTTTACAGAAATTTCTTCTCTGTGCACTTGGGATCTTACTGTTGTTCACACAACACTTCTGTAGCAGCACTTACCAATTTGTCACATTGAGGCCTGAGGGGATGAGGGGTTAAGAGTTCAAATGTAATGATTACACTATAAGAAATAGTGTGAAAAATTTCCTTTAGAAATACTAACAGATCCTCTCTGTGTCAGTCTCTGTCTCTCTGTTTCTATCTCTCTGTCTCTGTCTGTCCTCCCCATACCCTCTTTCCCTGTTGTCCTCTTTCCATTTGTTTCTAGAAATGTTCATACAGTGATCTACCACATTGGTATCTTGCTCAAGCTTCCCATAGACTTGGTTTCCATTCTACCATTCTTCGGTATTTTTGGAGGTAACACTTCTCACAATCATACACCACCCTCAACCTCTGCAACTATTTTTTTACAACTACATTTATATTCACCCTACTGGGCCTCAGCACACAAATACATTAATATCCTAAAGTGTTATGGGTCTTTGCTTACCATTGGCAAGGAGATCAAATGTTGGATTGTTGACGTTGTTTCAGGGCTCCTTTGGCCTCCTCATTTTGCCAGGTACCTACATAAGTTAAACTTCTGTAGAAAATGATCATAATCAGACTCAATTGCTTTTCCTTTATCAATTTCCCATTTTTAATTGGGCTTATTTTAATACATCAAATTTAAACTATCTTAATTACAAAGAATATGTTAACATTTTTATTCTTTCTTCTAATGTGGTATTTATTGATTTTGATATTTGTACCTTGTCTGTAAATTATAGATTTTTCATTTGGGGCTATGTTATAAGACTGTCATGTTCAGTGCTTTTCTGACTCCGTAAAGAAAGTATTAATGATAATAGATAAGAGGTTTCTAAGCAGTTCATGTCTTTGATTTTTTTCTTTTCTTAGAGGAAGTCAGTAGTGGAGTAGATAGAACACTAGACCTAGAGTCAGGAAGCCCTGAATTAAAATTTAGCCTCAGATATTTCCAAGCTATGTGACCATGGACAAGTTACTTAAACTCTCCCAGACTCAGTTTCTCCACCTGTAAAATGAGGATAACAATATCACCTCCCTCTTAGTATTGTTGTTAGGATAAAATGAGATAATACTTGTAAAGCATGCTGCAAACCTTAAAATGTGATATACATGATAACTAAAATTATAAGCTTGAATATATTTTGCATATATTTACATATGTGTATATGATGCTTCCCCCTGATAAAATGTTGTCTTCTGAAGGGCAAGGACTTTTGCTCTTCATTTTTGCCTTCATATTCCTAGTGTTTAACAAAGTACATGGTATATAGTAGGTGCTTACTAAATGCTTATTGATTGCTCCCAAATCATATTTTGAAACTTTTTTTGTTTTTGTTCTCTCCTTTATCCAGCTTCCCATGAGTCCCAAAGTACCCATTGATATGCTGATGTAGGTTGGAAGATTTTTTCAAGTTCTTCACACAGTAGATTTTTCTACTTCATCATTTGCAATAGATATTGGTGCATAATCTGTAATTAATTTCATAGCCAATTTTTTGCTAATGCTCATCATGAAGGAACTCTGTATAACAAAATGTTTCTTCTTTTCAGAGCACACGATGAGAACACATTGGCCAATTCCTTTATTTAACTCTCCAACAAGAATTGTGAACTCATCTTTAAATCTTCTACTTTTGTTTTTAATGAGAATGCCCGGATCAACATGATTCATTTTCCCCCCCAGTATTTTGTCATTGGACAATGATTTCAAATTGAGAAAAATAAATTATAAGTGATTAAAAAAAGATATAAATACCTGTTATTCTTAGTTCTTCTTGCTCTGTTTTCTGCAGTTCTAACACCTGTAGAAATGAAAGGGATTTAAAGGTATTTAAGGGCTTTGTTTCACAAATATTGAGGCCCTAAGAGTTCATTGCTTAGGGGCCAACCTACTTATTGGTGCTACACTTCTCCGTACTTAGGCTGGTCCTCAGAAAACAAGTACAATTAGTTATTAGGAACATACTCCAAGCCAAACCACTTGGAGGATGCTTTCCCTCTTTTAATTATTTCCTATCTATCTTGTACATAGCTTGCTTTGTATATGTTTGTTAGCATGTTGTTTCCCCCATTAGATTGTAAACTCCTTGCAAACAGGGACTTCCTTTTGCCTCTTTTTGCATCCCCAGCTCTTAGCATAATGACTGGCATATACAAAGCAGTCACTTAATAAATGTTTACTGAATGAATGAATAAAAGAATGGATGAATGAATACGGCCAGACCTTGTTTTCTACTAGCAAAGCCAGACCACCTCCATTATGAAATGAGATGTCAAAAATACGACTTTGTGGAAGATTAATTTCCATAAATTTAGATCAGTCAATAAAGATTTATTAAGTACCTACTATGTGCCAGACCCTGTGCTAAGTTGTGGAGATAGAAAGAAAGGCAAAAGATAGCCCTTGCTTTTAAATAGCTCAAAATCAATAACTTTGTATACATAAAATATGGTATTTAAAAAAAATCTCCTTCATTCCCTAACAAAGTTCTAGGCACACTGCGGACATTGAATACTTTTTTTAAATAATTGTTCATTCAATGAGGTATACATGTTAAAATTTTGTGTATAAATTTGACACATCAAAAAACATTTAACAGTTGCTATTTAATTTAATTTGGAGAGATTTTAATGACAAATATTGTGATAGACAGTGGTTACAATTTTGGAAAAATTGTCTATGAATGCCTACCCTGATCATTAAAAAGACAAATATAATCTAATGTAAAATAAAATTGGAAACATATGTTAAGATATTTTGAAAGGGACTTATACTGGGTATGTATTCTTTCTAAATATCCCAGTAATAGGAATCCTGGAAGATAGTGGAGTAAAAGATAATCTAAGGCATAACAACCCATACTTACCCCTAATCATACCAAATAAATAATAAAACCACCTCTAAATGCAGGCAACACAGTGATGGCAGACAAAAATATTAAGCTACAACAAGTTAATTCTTACTGAAAGAAAAAGAATGGCTGAATAACATTGTTCTTGGGGTGCTACCACCCCTAAGTAGTCCTCTTCTCTAATAGCCTGGGGCCACATTGGCCTAAGGTAACCCAGAATCTTTCTTGGTACCTCTAATAGTAGGTATTTCTTTTGCAAACTCTTGGCAGGTAGCCAAGGGGAATTCCATGACCCAGCCAAATTGAAGCCTTAATTCAGGACAACTTTTGAAAAGAATGAAGAGAAAAGCAAGGATTTCTCCTATCCCCGTTTTTATTTGGCACTGTCCTAGGAAAGCTAATAATGGAAATCAGACAACAGAAACAAATTAAAATTATAAATAAAGCAAAAAAGAAGCAAAACTGCTTGTTGATGATGTGATGTTTTACTTAGAAAATCCTAGAGATTATGCAATGAAACTGAGACAATTAATGATCTCATTAAAGTAGCAGAATACAAAATGAACACATTTATACATGCCATGTAATTTTTAAAAAATCTGAGGAAATAATAGAAATGGAATTTCTATTCAAAATAACTACAAAATACAAAAAAAATATGGAAATGAATCTACTAAAGTATACTTGGGACTTTCATAGATAAATTTATAAAGCATTCCTTACCTATTCATTATTTAAGTCATCATATTACTGGCGGCATAGTCAGTGCTCATACCTGGGCCATGTCAATATTATAAAAATGACAACACTTTCTAGATTAATTTATAGGTTGAAAGCATCACCAGTCAAACAACTAAGGGAAACTGTATCTAGAACTAGACATAAAATAACAAAATTAATTTGAATTCACAATATATCCCAAATCTGAAAAGAGAAATAAAGGGGGGGAAGTAGGAATAAAAAGAAAATAGCACTTCCATTCCCCAAATTATAATATAATGAAGTGACAATCAAAATTAGTAGATATTGGTTAAAATATTTTTTAAAACCTACCAGTATAATAGATTTGATATGGAAGAATGAAAACAATTGGCCTTGAGAACCTAGTATTCAATAAATCTAATAATGTAAATTTTTTTGGAGAATTACCTATTTGACAAAAATTGCTGGGATAATTGGAAAGCACTGGGCAGAAATTAGGCTCAGAACAACATTTCACACCACCTTTCCACAATAAAATCATCACCCAAAAGTGATCTGAATATTAAGTCATGCCATTTCAAAAGGTGGAATAGAACAAGATTAGCTAACTTTCATAGCCATGCTTAGGGAGAGAATTTATGAACAACCAAAAAATTGAGGCAACCACAAAGGATAACAGACTGTTTTGATAACAGAAAGTTGAAGTGTTTTTGCTTCCTCAGCCCCCAGAAAAAATAAACACAAATAGGTTAAGAAAAGATCAGGTTTAATTGGAGGGGAGGGGATCTTTGTATTGAATATCTTTGATCAGCTTCTGCCAACCAAGATATATAGGTAACTAACATGAAGATATGAGACCAAAAGTCATTCACCAATGGGTAAGTGCTCAAAGACAAAAATAGACAAATATATTTGTTTTAATATAAATTAAGAATTAAGATAAAATAAGAAAAGCAATTTTCAAGTAGAGAAAAGGAAAAAAAAAAGCATTCCGTATCAGAACTAAAAATATAATATTGAAGTTATGTAGAGAATTGCCAGTAATATATGACCTGAAACCCATTCCCCAACAGATTTAAAGGTATGGGAATAAACAGTTTTCAAAAGAATTACAAACTATAAATGACCAATTGAAAATGCATTCCAGAAAATATTAAGAATGCAAAATAGATAATTTTGAGTATGTTAAATTAAAAAGGTTTTGCAGAAACAAAAACAATGCAACCAAGATCATAAGGAAAGCAGAAAGCTAGGAAACAATTGTTACAGCTAGTGTCTTTCATAAATACTTCATTTCTCAAATATATATAGAACTGAGCCAAATTTATAAGAATACAAGTCATTCCCCTACTGATAAATTGTTAATGGATATGAACAGGTAGTTTCCAAAGAACTCAAAGCTATCTATAGTCTTATGAAAAAATGCTCCAAGAGAAATGTAAATTAAAACAATTCTAAGGTACCACTTCATCCTATCAAATTGGCTAATATGACTGAAAAGGAAAATGATAAATGTTGGAGAAGATGTGAGAAAATTGGAACACTAATGCATTGTTGGAGTTGTGAACTGATCCAACCATTCTGGAGAGCAATTTGGAACTATGACCAAAGGACTATGAAACTGTGCATACCTTTGATCCAACAATACCACTACCAGGTCTGTACCCTAAAGAGATCATAAAATAGAGAAAAGGACTCACATGTACAAAAATATTTATAGCAGCTCTTTTTGTGGTGGCAAAGAATTGAAATTAAGGGTATAATCATCAATTGGGAAATGGCTAAACAAGTTGTGGCACATGAATGTAATGGTATACTATTATGCTATAAGAAATGATGAGCAGATAGATTTCAAAAAAACCCCAAAAAACCCTGGAAAGACTTGCAGGAACTGATGCCGAGTGAAGTGAGCAGCACCAGGAGAACATCGTACACAGTACCAGCAACATTGTGCAATGAGCAACTATGACTGACTTAGCTCTTCTCAGCAATACAATGATACACGACAGTCCTAAAAGACTCATGATGGAAAATTCTATCTATGTCCAGAGAAAGAAATGATGGAGTCTGAATACAGATTGAAGCATACTATTTTCTCTTTCTTTGTTTTTTTGTGTTCTTTTTCTTTTGTTCTGTTTCTTCTTTCACAACATAACTAATATGGAAATGTTTTGCATGATAGCACATGTATAACCTGTTTTAGATTGCTTCCTGTCTTGGGGAGGGGGAAGGGAGAAAAATTTAGAACTCAAAATCTTATAAAAAAAGAATGTTGAAAATTCTCTTTACATGGAATTGGAAAAAATAAAATATTATTTACATCTCAAAATAGAAAAAAAAGAATAGAAAAGAAAAGATACTTCAAATTACTCTTAGAGAAATGCAAATTAAAACCACTCTGAGGTTTCACCTCACTCTCCAAAAAAAGCAAAGATGATGAAAAATGGAAAACAAAACAAAACAAACATTGTTGGATGGGCTGGGGGAAGAAAGGCACACAAATATATTGTAGCTAGAGCTGCAAATTGGTTCAACCATTTTCAGAATCTATTTGGAATTAAGATTAAAAAAAGTGACTAAACTTTCAATATCTTTTGACCCATGAGTCCTGTTACTCTGTGCATAGCCGAAGAAAGTCAAGGACAAAAATGAGGGTCTGTAGTATAGTAACAGTTAACATTTATATAGTGCTTACTTTGTATGAGGCATTGTGCTAAACACTGCAATTATGATCTTATTTAATCCTCACAACAATCCTGAGAGGTAGGTGGTATCATTCTCCCCATTTCACAGATGAAGAAACTGAAACCGAGGCAA